GGGGGGGGGGGGGGGGGGAGGCGAGTGCGAGAGAAGTTCTCTCCCCCTTTCCCCCTCTAGTCTCCCCTGGTTTTTTTTTTCTTGAATTTTTCTCCCGCGCTCTACTATTCGAACGCCTGGAACAGGCTATCCCTTCTCGCTCCGCCGGCTATCTGAACCGTAGCGCTATTATTGTGTTGATTGTCTCGAGCCCGGGGCATAGCTTCCTCGTATAAAACTTCGGATGATTTCCGGCTAGCCGACATGTTATTCAAGAATGACCAACATCATTTTTCTCCTAACATTAAAGATACATAATCAATAAAAGGGTATGAGAATTAATAAATAATCACCAATAAGAGATACTTTGATCTTTCATAAAAACTCTCTCAACTAAGTCTTAAAAGAAATATTTGGAGATCAGTAGAGAGAATTTGTATGTGGATATTGGACTTAAGGGTTTTCTGTGCCGGCAATTTATTGCGATCGTCTGAACAAAACTCGGGTGATAGAGACGACCCGGATGCAGTTACAAAAGTCTAATCAAATGGAGACGAATGAAAAGAGGGCATAATTTCACGCGCGTTTTGTCCAAATTCTGATAATTTCCCTCACCTTTTAACGCAAGTGAAATTCTTCCTTGATTTCACGAGTTCACAATAAATATTAGTATCAAGGGTGACAAATTATGCTCACAATCGTTTTTTTTTACTTGCTTATAGGAAAAGTTTAGAGCATAAATTTTGGCTTAAGTTAACGATTTTCTGAATTTTTTGACAAAATGCCTGTTCGGATCATTGATGTGCTCTTTCGCGTGTTCGGGTTTTCTAAAGCGTCTGTTAATGCGCTAACATCTTCAAGAACATTTTAAAATTTTGACGCTATCTTGTTGGTAGGTCTTGGCACTGAGACGTAAGGAATATTGCCATGGGAATTTTATAATTTCACATGTGAAAATGAATTAACGCTGAAATTTCGCGTAAAAATTAATGAGTAATTTGTTCAAGTGACTTGACAGTTGAAACGTTAATTGGGCCTGGGGAATGGATGGGAAAAGAATAGATCATTTTACAGTTGCATTTGTGGTCTTTGATTGATTGATTGATTGATTGACTCTGGTATTCGAGTGAATACGAGGCTGAAGTTGACCTCGTTTTGATACAAACCTCCTTTGTTTTCTTATGGAAATTATGCTTGAAAAATACTAGTTAGCTTTAGAACAATGTAATTGCGGGCGACAAGAGGAGCTGGCAATTCTAATCCCCAGGTTGTTATTACGCATGCGTCGCATGTAGCATTCGTTTGGCCTTCCACTAAGAATGAATAGAATGCACAAACCGCAATTTGATCACGCTAAGTGAAAATTAACTTTGCAAGACATCGACACGACACCGAAAGAACCAAAAACAGAGTGGGGTCGTAGCTGTAAACAGCTGTTTCGCCCTTTTTAGGACTCCTCAGTACGGCGCAACGAATAGAGAGGCTCTGCCGTAAAATTCCCGCACACTCTGTTTTAGAGCTCTAGCATTGAACTTAAACACTCCCTGAACCACGCCATATCACGTGTCCCCGAGAGGGCGAGAGTCCAAGTGTCACGTTGATGTCTCACAAAGAAAATATAGGATGGACAAAACCAACCTTGGAAACATGGGCAAAACCAAGCAAAAATGGACCGCAAACGAATATGCCGCAAAACGTAGGATCTGTAAAAGACCTGACCAGCAAAAATATACACTGAGTAATTCTGCAAAGCTGAGCGTACTACATGAAAATTAACTTTGGAAGACATCAACACGACACTGAAAGAACCAAAAACAGAGCCGGGTGTTAGCCGTAGACAGCTGTTTCGCCCTTTTTGGGGCTCCTCAGCACGGCGCCTACGTTTTGCGGCATATTTGTTTGTGGTCCTTTGCAGTTTAAATGTCAATTTATTACTTATTTTGAAGGGCCGTAGGTCTCCTATAGATCCGATATGCTGTTCATTTTTGCATGGTTTTGCCCCTGTTTTTAAGGTTGGTTTTGTCCATCCCTATTTTCCTTGTGATACATCAACGTGACACTTGGACTCTTGCCCTCTCGGGGACACGTGATATGACGTGGTTCTGTGAGTGTTATCGAAGCTTCAACACCCCCCCGGGCAACCCCCGGGCATTTGACTTTTTTTCAAATTTACTGTTCAAATTTTCCCCCACCCGGGCCAAAATGCCGTTCAAATGCCCCACACTAGGGTCCATTCAGGTGATCAAATGCCCCCACCCCGGGGACATTTCACAGGCACAAAAATGACAAAAGGACGGCGGAAACGCCTTCAGTTGTCGAACAAAATCTTTCTAAATATAACAAAAATTGAGAAACACACTGTTAGCGTATTTACTACGAACAAAAGCCTCGTGCAAAGCGGTGGAAATCACTGCTACAAGGTCACTGAATGCTCAGCTTTTCTTCGTCATGCAACATACAAAGCGTTCTATAAAAAAAGATACTACCTATTGAGATTACTACATCATGACCATTTCACTGACATGCATCATCGCATACTTGCAGTAGGTCAAAGTAGTTGATCTGAGCTTTTTATTTTATTTTATTTTGTGTTGTTGTATTGAATCGCCGGTATAGGTATTGTATTTCATTGTAAACACAACAATAAAATACATTCATACGTTCAAAGCCTGAGTCCAGTATTAAAAATTTTAAAATTTAAATACTTCAAATACGGCACAAAGCTTTTTTAAGCCCTTTCCTCGTAACCAATTGGCCACAAAGGCACACCGCGTCCCCCATGATAGCTCTCCACGCCAAAGATTTCACATGAAATCGAGGGTGCAGTTCAAATTCCCCACCCCTAAAGTATGAGGATGAAATTCCCCACCCCCTGGAAGACTATGATGATCAAATTTCCTCCTCCCCGGGACGGCAAAGGTGTCAAATTCCCGGAGCATGCCCGGGGGGGCATGTCGAAGCTTTGATTTGACCGATACATTTGAGTTCAATGCGAGAGCTCTGAAACAGAGTGTACGGGAATTTTACGGCAGGGCCTCTCTGTTCGTTGCGCCGCACTGGGGAACCCAAAAAAGGGCGAAACAGCTGTTACAGCTAAGACCCCGCCCTATTTTTGGTTCTTGCGTGTTGATGTCTTGCAAAGTTAATTTTCACGTAGTACGATCAGCTTTGCAGAATTCGGTGTCTCTACTCAGTGTATATTTTTGCTGGTCAGACCTTTTATAGATCCTACGTTTTTCGGCATATTCGTTCGCGGTCCTTTGCAGTTTAAATGTCAGTTTGATCAAGCACGTTTCGACCGTCTACCCCCCGTAATCTGATCACGCGTGTTTTGACCATCTGTCACGGGAAACTTACGCAAAGCACAGCATTGGAGCAAAAGCGTTTGGACCTTCGATCATCTTCGCGCGTGCTCCCTAACCTTTGATTATTAGTAGTTTAAGTAATGATCCGGGTAAGGTGGATAGCAATTTCTTTTGTTATGCGGCAACGGTGCTTTCCCCACATAGGAGTGTTCTCATTTTTACACAGAGAATGCATAAACCTACATGAAGGCCGTTTACGCAATAAAATGCATTTGAAAGGGTGTCTTTTTTTGTCAAAAGATTTTGACCAATCACAAGAGTTGAAAACAATAGCCAAGAAAAGTTTACAATTTTACATGTTCCCCACATAGGATTTCTTTGTTATTCAAACTGAGGCCAGATTTTGTTATATGGAAGATGGTTGGAAAGTAAGGATGAATATATCTACTGCTTTATGAATACTGCTTTATGAAGTTTTGTTAACTTTTGCTGTTTAAGCCAATCAGAAGTAAGTACAGACAATAGAAAAGTTAGCACCTTTTTTGCATTCCAACATGTTCGTTGCCGTTGTTGCTATCGTTCTTATCTGGGCCGTCTGGATCTTATCTGACCGTTGGTCAGCTCTAGCCTCGTTTCCATGTATAACTGAAAAATGAGCTATTCCGTCCAATGACTGACCTCAGGCCTTAAGACAATTTACAATGTTTTACCTATATCCTCTGTGTAAATACCCCCCAAATTAATTAAATCATATGTTATTACCTTTAGTGGATGGCTTCAATGGTGAAATGCTTTTAGACGTAGAAAAACGCGCCACAGATTCTTTGCGTCCACTTAACATAAGCATATTCCCGCCAGAGAGGAATGTATCAGGGAGATTTTTCAACTTCCACGACTACAAACCAACCTTTAAACTAGACGCTAGCGAGAAAGGAAGGGTTACTCTGACTGGAGGTCCTCTCATGGCTCCTTATATTATGGACCAATTTCACTTTCACGTTTACTGCACAAGAGAAGAGGCTGAAGAAAATACGTTGGATCGCGTTCAAGTTCCCGGCGAGGTAAGCGAGAAAATGTCGGTATGAGTTTCTTTGGCTAAAAAGAGGAAAACATCAGGGAAGAAGGGGCTCAAGGGGGAACCTTGGGTCGTTGTTGCTTAAGTCCTGTGCAACGATTAAACGTTGAATGGGTATCCTGTGCATAATGAAATCATACCGCCATCTTGGTTGTTATTAAAAATTGACATTTATGCATTGTGTAGAAGCTTAGGTCTGAAATATGTTGTCTTTAAACTTGTTGCTTTTGAAAAACAGACTGAAGCAAGGCTGATTTGACTGTTGGGAATACATTTTTTTTGCCAAGGACATCCTGAAGAAGTAAGGCCGTGCCTTTCGAAATATTGGCAAAAAATAATATATCCCCGCTGTCAAATCAGCCTTGCCTCATTCTGTTGTTCATGTATTTGTTAGTTAGATCCTCCAGTAGGATCCAGTTCTTCTATTTTCTAACGTTGGTCCTTGCTTCCAAAGCTAGATTTGCTGCTTTTGGTAGTATTTTTTGTGTTTATTACACACGAAGTGCAGAGAACACTCTCGTTTTTGATTTTGTCGGAGGAATATATGAGGATCTGGCTACAAGGTGTGTTGAAAAATTCAGGAAATTTCCATGGGGAGTAGAAGAGTCTTTACTGTTAGTGTAGGAAAGAAGCATGACTATTCGGATCAATTCAGGTTAAATGAAATGTGTCTTCTAAGAAAGTTGTGTCCAAACTTTGGTCATGTTTCAGTTACACCTTGTGTTCTTTCGAGAGAACTATCAGACTTACAACAAAGCAGTGCAAAGATTTCGTGATGGACTAGCCGTGGTTTCAATATATTTTGTGGTAAGCATTACATGGATGTTTACAGTAGGAGTAAAAATTTTAAACTCATGGAAATGCTGGAAATACGCGCTAATCTCACGCTTACAGACCCGTCATTTAATTTGCAAGGAAACTGGGCCGAGTTACTTGTCGCAAAGACTTCTGGGACTGCTACCGGAGATAAGTATTCCAGAATCAATTGCGGGGCACATTTCGTCTCCAGTTCCCTTTCGTTTCTATGGGGCGAACCTCTAAGCAGGGTCACTAACAGATTATGCTTGTATTATGCTCATCTAGAGGCCTGAGTCATGCTCCTTATTTTAGCGCACTAACATGACACTTTTCCCTCCCGTAGTGCCAAATTAACGCTGATGAAAATAGCCAATATTGATATCGAAGCTATATAACGATGCTGTATCTTGAAAAGGCTTTAGGTTTATGAAAGACTAGGAATTTCACTAGTTAAAGTAGTTAAGGATCGAAGGAGTATCTGTTCGCAGGGTCGAATGTCACGTACTAAAACCAAATATACAAAACAACGTAGCACTCGGGAACAACTCGGGAAATCGGGAAAGCGGTATAATTGAAAGAAAAACAGAAGACCTATCCGTAATCTGTTTCTGTTATTTATAGTGCAGGCGGTTTAAAAAAATTGTTGTCACAAGGTTGCTATCAAGTTCTGATGTTAAATGTTTAGTTGAGAAGAACTTAAAACATCAACGCCCACTTCACTTCCTTTAAGTCGTACTTAGCGGTCGAAGAAGACGATTTGTTCTAGCGCCAAACGTTTTCATTCCTACAGAATGCGCAGTGAACGTTTAAGACAGAAACCGTTCTTTCTGATTATAAGCTCAGTTTTTTTTACTTCCAGGTACAAGGCGAAGAGAACACTAACACTGAGATAGCAACGTTTGAGAACCTCATTGACTATATTTCACAGGACGAAAGTTAGTGGCAATGTATTTAGTAAATNAGTTCTCGTTTCTATTGGGCGAACCTTTAAGCAGGGTCACTAACAGATTATGCTTGTAATGTGCTCATCTGGGAACCTGAGTCATGCTCCTAATTTTAGCGCACTAAAATGACACTTTTCCCTCCCGTAGTGCTAAATTAACGCTGATGAAAATAGCCAATATTGATATCGAAGCTATATAACGATGCTGTATCTTGAAAAGGCTTTAGGTTTATGAAAGACTAGGAATTTCACTAGTTAAAGTAGTTAAAGATCGAAGGAGTATCCGTTCGCAGGGTGGAATGTCACGTAATGAAACCAAATATACAAAACAACGTAGCACTCGGGAACAACTCGGGAAATCGGGAAAGTGGTATAATTGAAAGAAAAACAGAAGACCTATCCGTAATCTGTTTCTGTCATTTATAGTGCGTGCGGTTTGAAAAATTGTTATCACAAGGTTCCTATTAAGTTCTGATGTTAAATGTTTAGTTGAGAAGAACTTAAAACATCAACGCCCACTTCACTTCCTTTAAGTGAAGAAGACGATTTGTTCTATCGCCAAACGTTTTCATTCTTACAGAACGTGAAGTGAACTTTAAAGACAGAAACCATTCTTTCCGATTATAAGCTCAGTTTTTTTTACTTCCAGGTACAAGGCGAAGAGAACACTAACACTGAGATAGCAACGTTTGAGAACCTCATTGACTATATTTCACAGGACGAAAGTTAGTGGCAATGTATTTAGTAAATTGGAATCGCCTGTCCCCTTACACATTTAACAACAAGTTGGCCCTTCGGTAGTTGGAAAAATAAACAAAATACATGTCTTTGTTACCCGGTTCTTTGAGCTATGATTCAACAGCACGCTTTTGTCACCGAGAGTAGAAAAGGTCTGAAGCCGAGGCTTCTTCTTCTTCAAGATGGGCCGAGTTGTGCGATAATTCTGGGCTAGCTGCAAACATAGACTATCAGTTGTCATGGTAACAAACAAATCGTCTTTCCAACAAGGAATGTCGCGTTGACTCTGCATAATCAGATCATCATAAGATAACGTTTCACTTTGTCATTACTTTCGTAGATCGTACAGTGTCCACCACTGCTGCCATCGAGCAGCTGTCGACTCCACTGAGTAAAAGGAATGCGCCATATCAGGCATACAGAGGCAATTTGGTTGAGCCAATTAAATGCAAGAATTGCGTCGACGTCTTTGTCATGGAAGAAAGATTTACCGTTTCTGTTAAGCAGGTAATAAATTGACTGGCAATTTTACTGTTACTATACTAGAAATAATCAAAGAATACAAAGTGTGTCTCAAAAAACTTGAGCCCACGTTCGAGAAATGCCAAGTTCCCAGCCAACGGGAGCTGGAACGTAAGGGAATGCTTTTGAACTCGCCTCGGCAGTAAACTGTAGGGTGGATTATCAAAATTGGGATTTGTTGCCTGGGGCTATGCTGTGCTGACGTGCCCTAATGGGTACTAAGCAGCTGTCCATGGCTGCCCTGGCGATGTTGCTCCGCGTGCATGCGTAAGGTTCTGACCATTCAGTGGAGTTGGTAGTGTGTGCTTCAGAGCTGAAATTGATATTAATTTCTCTCCCTTGGCAAGTTGCTGACGATGTTATTTGTCCCTGCAAACTCAGCGATTTCAATTGCGTTCCAAGCTCCGTTCAATCAACGACGATTGTCCCATATTCATTTAAATCTGTATTAGTTAGCGTTCTACCAAAAAAGCAATTAACGAATGCTGTACATGTTAGTCAAATGGGCAGATCCATCTGTCTCAGAGATGTCTGACAGTACTATAGAGGTAGGGATGTAGGATTTGTACCTATTTTGGCGGTACGTGAGAACCACTACCACTACCACTGCAAACTGCCACTTCCCACTGCCACTACTACCACTTCCATTACGACTACCCAGAACTAATTATTCTACCACTACCATGGATCAATTAAAACTGCCCACCTACCACTCCCCTAAGCCAACATTACCACTTACTTCTCACTTAGGGCAAAATGTTGGCTTAGGGGAGGAGTAGGTGGTCAGTATCCCAGAAACCTAATTGATCCACTAACACTACTCCCTGCCACCTCTGCTTAACTAGTGCGGCCACTAAAACGGGTCCCAGCGTCCCAGAAAACATGTCCGTAACGGTCAGTAGAGGCGAGCGAAATTTTACAAGCAGCTGTTCTCCTTGCGTCCGCTTGTTTTGTTATCATTTGTGTTCTAAACTATTTGTTTCTGATTCATTGCCCTCTTTGCAATGTATTTTGTATATTAACTTGCTAAAATGAGCATTTTTAAGAATGTAAAATGTTCTTGTTTTGTTAACTTTTGCTGTTTAAGCCAATCAGAAGTAAGTACAGACAATAGAAAAGTTAGCACCTTTTTTGCATTCCAACATGTTCGTTGCCGTTGTTGCTATCGTTCTTATCTGGACCGTTTCTTAAATAAGAAAGCAGGAAAGGTTGTATATCAAAACGTGGTCAGCTCTAGCCTCGTTTCCATGTATAACTGTAAAATGAGCTATTCCGTCCAATGACTGAACTCAGGCCTAAAGACAATTTACAATGTTTTACCTATATCCTCTGTGTAAATACCCCCCAAATTAATTAAATCATATATTATTACCTTTAGTGGATGGCTTCAATGGTGAAATGCTTTTAGACGTAGAAAAGCGCCCAACAGATTCTTTGCGTCCACTTAACATAAGCATATCCCCGCCAGAGAGGAATGTATCAGGGAGATTTTTCAACTTCCACGACTACAAACCAACCTTTAAACTAGACGCTAGCGAGAAAGGAAGGGTTACTCTGACTGGAGGTCCTCTTATGGCTCCTTATATTATGGACCAATTTCACTTTCACGTTTACTGCACAAGAGAAGAGGCTGAAGAAAATACGTTGGATCGCGTTCAAGTTCCCGGCGAGGTAAGCGAGAAAATGTCGGTGCGAGTTTCTTTGGCTAAAAAGGGGAAAACATCAGGTAAGAAGGGGCTCAAGGGGGAACCTTGGGTCGTTGTTGTTTAAGTCCTATACAAAGATTAAACGTTGAATGGGTAGCATGTGCATAATGAAATCATGCCGCCATCTTGGTTGTTATTAAAAATTCAGATTTATGCATTGTGTAGAAGCTTAGGTCTGAAATATGTTGTCAGTAAACTTGTTGTTGTTTTTAAAAAAAAGACTGAAGCAAGGCTGATTTGACAGTTGGGAATACATGTTTTTTTGCCAAGGACACCCTGAAGAAGTAAGGCCGTGCCTTTCGAAATATTGGCAAATAAAAATATATCCCAACTGTCAAATCAGCCTTGCCTCATTCTGTTGTTCATGTTTTTGTTAGTTAGATCCTCTAGTAGGATCCTGTTCGTCTTCTATTTTCTAACGTTGGTCCTTGCTTCCAAAGCTAGACTTACTGCGTTTGGTAGTATTTTTTGCGTTTATTACACAGGAAGTGCAGAGAAAACTCTCGTTTTTGATATTGTCGGAGGAATAAATGAGGATCTGGCTACAAATAATGTTGAAAAATACAGGAAAATGCCATGGGGAGAAGTAGAGTCTTTACTGCTAGTGTAGGAAAGAAGCATGAATATTCGGATCAATTTAGGATAAATGAAATTCGTCTTCTAAGATAGTTGTGTCCAAACTTTGGTCATGTTTCAGTTACACCTTGTGTTCTTTCGAGAGAACTATCAAACTTACAACAAAGCAGTGCAAAGATTTCGTGACGGACTCGCCGTGGTTTCAATATATTTTGTGGTAAGCATTACATGAATGTTTACAGTAGTAGTAAAAATTTTAAACTCATGAAAATGCTGTAAACACGGGCCAATCTCACGCAATTTGCATGGAAACTGGGCCGAGTTACTTTTCGCAAAGACTTCTGGGACTGCTACCGGAGATAAATATCCCAGAATCAGTTGCGGGACACATTTGTCTCCAGTTCTCGTTTCTATTGGGCGAACCTTTAAGCAGGGTCACTAACAGATTATGCTTGTAATGTGCTCATCTGGGAACCTGAGTCATGCTCCTAATTTTAGCGCACTAAAATGACACTTTTCCCTCCCGTAGTGCTAAATTAACGCTGATGAAAATAGCCAATATTGATATCGAAGCTATATAACGATGCTGTATCTTGAAAAGGCTTTAGGTTTATGAAAGACTAGGAATTTCACTAGTTAAAGTAGTTAAAGATCGAAGGAGTATCCGTTCGCAGGGTGGAATGTCACGTAATGAAACCAAATATACAAAACAACGTAGCACTCGGGAACAACTCGGGAAATCGGGAAAGTGGTATAATTGAAAGAAAAACAGAAGACCTATCCGTAATCTGTTTCTGTCATTTATAGTGCGTGCGGTTTGAAAAATTGTTATCACAAGGTTCCTATTAAGTTCTGATGTTAAATGTTTAGTTGAGAAGAACTTAAAACATCAACGCCCACTTCACTTCCTTTAAGTGAAGAAGACGATTTGTTCTATCGCCAAACGTTTTCATTCTTACAGAACGTGAAGTGAACTTTAAAGACAGAAACCATTCTTTCCGATTATAAGCTCAGTTTTTTTTACTTCCAGGTACAAGGCGAAGAGAACACTAACACTGAGATAGCAACGTTTGAGAACCTCATTGACTATATTTCACAGGACGAAAGTTAGTGGCAATGTATTTAGTAAATTGGAATCGCCTGTCCCCTTACACATTTAACAACAAGTTGGCCCTTCGGTAGTTGGAAAAATAAACAAAATACATGTCTTTGTTACCCGGTTCTTTGAGCTATGATTCAACAGCACGCTTTTGTCACCGAGAGTAGAAAAGGTCTGAAGCCGAGGCTTCTTCTTCTTCAAGATGGGCCGAGTTGTGCGATAATTCTGGGCTAGCTGCAAACATAGACTATCAGTTGTCATGGTAACAAACAAATCGTCTTTCCAACAAGGAATGTCGCGTTGACTCTGCATAATCAGATCATCATAAGATAACGTTTCACTTTGTCATTACTTTCGTAGATCGTACAGTGTCCACCACTGCTGCCATCGAGCAGCTGTCGACTCCACTGAGTAAAAGGAATGCGCCATATCAGGCATACAGAGGCAATTTGGTTGAGCCAATTAAATGCAAGAATTGCGTCGACGTCTTTGTCATGGAAGAAAGATTTACCGTTTCTGTTAAGCAGGTAATAAATTGACTGGCAATTTTACTGTTACTATACTAGAAATAATCAAAGAATACAAAGTGTGTCTCAAAAAACTTGAGCCCACGTTCGAGAAATGCCAAGTTCCCAGCCAACGGGAGCTGGAACGTAAGGGAATGCTTTTGAACTCGCCTCGGCAGTAAACTGTGGGGTGGATTATCAAAATTGAGATTTCTTGCCTGGGGGCTATGCTGTGCTGACGTGCCCTAATGGGTACTAAGCAGCTGTCCATGGCTGCCCGGGCGATGTTGCTCCGCGTGCATGCGTAAGGTTCTGGCCATTCAGTGGAGTTGGTAGTGTGTGCTTCAGAGCTGAAATTGATATTAATTTCTCTCCCTTGGCAAGTTGCTGACGATGTTATTTGTCCCTGCAAACTCAGCGATTTCAATTGCGTTCCAAGCTCCGTTCAATCGACGACGATTGTCCCATATTCATTTAAATCTGTATTAGTTAGCGTTCTACCAAAAAAGCAATTAACGAATGCTGTACATGTTAGTCAAATGGGCAGATCCATCTGTCTGAGAGATGTCTGACAGTACTATAGAGGTAGGGATGTAGGATTTGTACTTATTTTGGCGATACGTGAGAACCACTACCACTACCACTGCAAACTGCCACTTCCCACTGCCACTACTACCACTTCCATTACCACTACCCAGAACTAATTATTCTACCACTACCATGGATCAATTAAAACTGCCCACCTACCACTCCCCTAAGCCAACATTACCACTTACTTCTCACTTAGGGCAAATATTGGCTTAGGGGAGGAGTAGGTGGTCAGTATCCCAGAAACCTAATTGATCCACTAACACTACTCCCTGCCACCTCTGCTTAACTAGTGCGGCCACTAAAACGGGTCCCAGCGTCCCAGAAAACATGTCCGTAACGGTCATTAGAGGCGAGCGAAATTTTACAAGCAGCTGTTCTCCTTGCGTCCGCTTGTTTTGTTATCATTTGTGTTCTAAACTATTTGTTTCTGATTCATTGCCCTCTTTGCAATGTATTTTGTATATTAACTTGCTAAAATGAGCATTTTTAAGAATGTAAAATGTTCTCTCTTCCCAACAA